CTTGTATCTTCTTTTTTTTTTTTTTTTTTTCCGGCTAAAATTTTTATTAATTCATATCAAAGCATATGTTATTATACAAAAAAGATGGACAAGAATGGAACAGACTCCAATTTGTCGAGGATATAAGCGCTTTTTTGGATAGTAAATCAGCTGCTGCATTACAGTGACGATTAACATGACAAAATGATGTTGAAACGAAACTTGCTTTCCAAGCAAGTACAGTATTAACCAAATGATGGCACCGGGGACTTCTATTCGTTGTAGTTATAAATTTCAAAATGCCAAGATTGTCTCCTTCAAAAATTATTTTTGTATAACCCAAGACAGAACAAGCCTGCATTGACCAAATCAAAGCTGAAAGCTCCGACTCCATTACTGTTGGTCTTCCTTCAAATTTCCCCATTCCTGCATGTAATAAGATTCCTTGGTTATTCCTAATCAGCCAACCTAGTCCTGAAGGTTGATTACCGGTTCGGTGAGCCGCATCATAATTACATTTAACCCAACCCAAAGGAGGTGGTTTCCATTGGGAAATGTTCCTCTGTTTGTTGCGTGACTTATGAGAAACAGATACTTGTGGTAACTTTGTAAAATCCAACCACTCCTTAAGATCTGTTTTTGCTCTTTTAAGGACCTCTTCAGGCGTGTACTGTTTTTTGTTGAATAAAAGATCATTCCTTGATTTCCATAAGCGCCAAACAACCCAAAAAGGTAGTAGTCTCTGTTCTGGAGGTAGATTTCCATTCAGCGCCCAATTAAACATAGTAGTCAACTTATCTAACAAAGACTCAGTCGTATGTGTTAGAGAGAGTGGATAGCCTGATAATCGCCACACTTGTTGAGAAAAAAGACAAGTAAAGAAAGCATGGTCACTAGATTCATTAGAATCACAACAGCAAGAACAAGATGGATCCACTGGAATATGTCTACGGCGTAGATTTTCTTTGACTGCAATGATCCCAGACCCTATTTTCCAAAAGAAGTGTTTAAGTTTTGGAGGTATTGGCGCAGACCAAATCATCTTTGTTAAGATAGGTGATGAAGCCAATGGTGGTGGTACAACGTCGGTTTCTTGCACTGATGTAATGTAATGATATCCTGATTTAACTGAATAGTTTCCATCCGCATTGTATGGCCATATAACTCCATCTGAAGCTGCCTGGTATGGAAGATAAATCTTATGAATGAGTGGTATATCAGATACGTCAATAAGATCCTTAAGGTTCTCCATATCCCACTGGTTTGTAGTAGGTAATATCAAAGTCTTGACTCGTAATGTAGGATTAGTATAAGGAAGTAAACTTGGTGATCTTGGTGGAATCGTAGGTAACCACGCATCTGACAAACTAATCGTATCTCCACTTCCTACACGATACTGCAATCCTTGTATTAGCAAATCTCTTCCATGTAAAAGGGATTGCCATCCATATGAACTTTGATAACCTCGTTTGGCTTTGAAAATCGTCTTATTTTTAAAATAACGATGTTGTAATACTCGAAACACCAAACTTGTAGGTCTGTGATGAAGTTTCCAAACTTGGTTCGCAAGTAAAGCCTGATTAAAGCTCAGTAAGTTTCGAAAACCTAACCCTCCACTCTGTTTTGATTTGGACAAACGTTTCCAAGATATCCAAGACATTTTCCTATTGTTTTCTGTTGATCCCCACCAGAAACGTGATAAGATTCCATCGATCTCATCACACAACTCAACTGGTAGTTTGAAACAATTCATAGAATATACCGGCATACCCAAAGCCACTGATTTTATTAAAATTTCCTTCCCTGCCATGTTAAGATATCTATTTTGCCAGCCTGATACCTTCCCAAGAACACTATCTTTCACGTATGAGAACATCTCCTTCTTGTTGCGTCCAAACTGCTCTGGGAGACCCAAATACTTCCCACCTCCCCCAATAAGAGGAATTCCCAAAGTTGACTGAATCATATCCCTTGTCTGTTGGAACACCTTGAAACCAAAAGTAATTGATGATTTTTCAAGGTTAATCATCTGACCCGAAACATCTTCATATTCTTTAAATATTTGTAACAGACGCTGACTATTTGTATGATCTGCTTTTATGAAAAATAAAGAATCATCAGCAAAAAGTAAATGTGAGATGGGAGGACCTCCAACACTTAACCGAACTGGTTGAAGTTCATGTCTTTGTTC